ACACAGGTAGCTGTGGTTCTCCGGCTGCTTCCCGCTGCGCGGGCTGAGCACCCTGCACAGAGCGTGCCATCCAGTCACCTCTCCTCTGAAGCAAGTATTATTCTCACTTTATATATGAGAACCTGAGGCTCAGCTAGGTCAAGTTCAAAAGAGGAAAGCTGGGCTTAGACTCAGGACTGCCTCGCTGAAGAATTACTGCCCTTCCCCTATATGCTGTGCTAGCTTAGCTGAAATGGACTGGATTACGGATGCCCAGGCCCTGAGAAAAGCTGGGCCCTCCAAACTTCAGGGGAATAGAAGTGGCCACTTTTATTGTTTTTATTAAAAAACATATATATTGATTTCAGAGAGGAAGGGAGAGAGAGATAGAAACATCAATAATGGGAGAGAATCATTGATAGGCTGCCTCCTGCACACCCCACACTGCGGATCAAACCCAGGCATGTGCCCTGACCGGGAATCGAACCGTGACCTGGTTCATAGGTCGATGCTCAACCCCTGAGCTACACTGGCTGGGCCAGAAGTGGCAACTTTAAATGGGAGAGTAAATAAGCACCTGGCACCCTCACATGTGCTGACACCAGGTGGCTTGAGCTAGGGAGGAATCCTGGGGCTGAGAAACTCCTGTGTTCCTGAAGCAGAGGGGAGTCATGTGCCGGTGGGCTGGATCGTCGCAGCAGTACTGGCATCCCTCCTGCTGGTAGGCGGAGGCGTAACCTTCTGGCTTAAGAAGCGCAGGTGAGTCTTCTTTTTCCATCTCCTTTCCTCAGCCTTTGTCCCCATTCCCTCTTCCTTCCATCCCCTCTTCCACTTTTCTTAATGGTCTCTCCCTGGCTATTCTCTCACAGGTCTTATCAAGACATCCTGTGACTGTGCTGGCCACACCTGTCTGGAACTCAGGATCTCAAGTTCCCAGGACTTCGGCACCCAGGAATTGAGGATGAAAGTGAGGTGCCTTGAAGAAGCAGAGAACAATCCCAAGAAAGCTCTCATCACGCCCCTTGGCTACTTTAAGAGAATTTAAGCATCCTACCTGTTTAGAAGCTCACGTGGTTCTTAAGAACAGAAGTGCAAACTCAGATACCTACCAGGGACAAGCAGAGAAGGGCCGAAGCGCGGGCACCTGTGGCCATTGTTTAAACGCTGGAGTCTGCAGAGACCTGGAAAGCACTTGTCCTGTCCAGGGGGAGCAGGTCCAGCTGCTTGTTGTCAAATAGGAAGTCAGACCCTGGGTTGGCTGTGACCTACATTTTTCAAGAAAAGCGGAAGTCTGGATTTTCATGTGAGCGTGCCTGACATTAAAATAATGACTCAAACTTTTACACAATTTAGGGTGTGGAACCCCAAATACACCTCTGCTAGTTAACAACAACTTGGGGGGCTTTCAGTTTGTATCTTTTGGGAAAGCTTGTGAATGTCATATTGGCAGTTTGAGGACATAATTTCTATTGTGAATTTGAATTTATAAGGGGATATTTCATCTTTAAAAAGAAAGTTAGGTCAAAGAAACAGAGGTATCTCAAGCTTTTATGTAACTTGATTAAAAGAGGAGAAATCCTAGTGTATGTGTATGATATGGAAATAAACTACTTTGGGGAGGGACCTTTCTCACCAATGGGCAGTCATTTTATTCGGACTGGAAGAGGCAGTCATGAAGAGACCCCTCCAAACAGCCTCTCTTACTTCTAGCTATTGAGAAAGTGCACGAAAGGGGCTGAGCATACCTGGGCAAGCCTGAGGTGTAGTGATGCCGGTCTAGCTGTCTTCTTGGTTCTTAGACAGGAGGTAACTGGAAGCTAAGCGGAACAGCAGACCTTTCTGGAGCCAAGAAATGAGAAGGTCAAGTTAAAATGATCGGTTGGCTCTCAGGAAAGTCGCCTCTAGGCACCCCAGGGCTCTGAACATCCAGAAAAAGAGAGGCTGCCCTTTGGGAGAGCCTTTGCTTGAGGAAATGAAGATTTGGTTCTTCTCTGCTGGACTCACAGGTCAAACCTAGAATGCAGGTGAAGAACCTGCTGGCTTCTGAACCAATGGTTCCCAAATTGTGTTTTTGTGACCAGTGGCCTCGGCATCACCTGGGAACTTATGAGTTATTTTGGGCCCCACCCCAGAACTACTGAATGGGAAACTTTGGGAGTGGGGCCCAGTCGTCTGTGTGTTAACAAGCCCGCAGGTAATGCTGATATTCAGCTAAAGTTAGAGAACCACTGTTCTTAGACATGTGTAATGTTGTGCAACAAATTTCTCAGAATGTCTAGTGAGAATTTTGGCTTGGGGTTAGTCAAGGAAGGCTTCATGGACGAAGGGGAACTTGAAGCAGAACTTAGCGAGGCGGGTAGGTGAACCAGCAAGTGCACTGGATCAGGAGACTGGAGTTCTAGCCTCTGACTCAGTTTCCTCCTGTGCCCATTGGGGCTAATAATGTCAGCCTGCCTACTGCTTAAATGTGTGTGTATGCCCCGATTCATCTGTTAGAAATCTAATAACCAAGGTGATGGGTATTAGAAGGTGGGGTTCTGGGAGGTGATTAGGTCATGAGGTCTGAGCTCTCAAATGGAATTAGTGCTGTTAGAAAAGAGGTCCCTTCACCTTGTGAAGACAGCAGAAGATGCCATCTAGGATGCAGGAAGTGGGCCCTCATCAAACCCTGAATCTTTTGGCCCCTTGAGATTGGACTTCCCAGCCTCCAATCTGTGAAAAATAAATTTCTATCGCTTATAAGCCACCCAGTCTGTTATTTTGTAATAGCAGCCCAGATGGACAAAGACAGATTTTCTCATAGACTTGTCTCCTAGACAAATGTGTGAAATGTGTGGCAAGCTACAATGCCTTCAGAAACGTGTGACCTGTTATTGTTCTTGGTGCCACACTGCCCTGGGGAGATGCTCTTCAGCTCAGCTTCCTCAGGCAGCGTCAAGTTTTCGAAAGTATCTCACCTGGCTTTTACATTCCCAGGCTCTTCTGAAATCTTTTTGGAAATGCTTCAGCCTGAATTTACAGCGACTCTGGTTCGTTTTTAAGCAATTTTGATTTTTTTGGAAAGTAAACGTATATCCAGAAAATTTTGTCTTCTTTTTTCAAATAGTTCCTATCATCTCAGGAAATTCATTTTAAAACAGGTTAATATTCTATGTATGAACATCATGTTCCTCATTGAGTGCTGTGCTGTTAGTTACTTTATTAACACTCAAATTTATTGCTATAAGTTCTAAATTCATCTTTATGTGCTCAGTGATAATGGATGGAATTCCTCATTATTTCTCCTTTAAAGTCAGCACAATGTTAAGCTTTTATAGTAGAGGGCCCTGGAGAGACACTGTAGGAAGAAGGGGCTCTCCTGCAGTCACCAGCTAGTACATGGCAGGTCATACTGTGTTTTGTCATACTGCCTCAGCCTGCCTACTGATTAAATGTTTGTGTACCCCCCGACTCATATGTTAGAAATCTAACAACCAGAGCCCATGGACACTTGGTTGACTTTGCAGCCTAAACCTGGCAAGGACCTTTTCATAGCCCTTTAAAAAAATTATATCTCTATCTCTATCTCTATCTCTATCTCTATCTCTATCCCTATTGATTTCAGAGAGGAAGGGAGAGGGAGAGATAGAAACATCAATGATGAGAGAGAATCATTGATCGGCTGTCTCCTGCACACCCCCTACTGGGGATTGAACCTGCAACCCAGGCAAATGTCTTTGACCATTATGGAACCTGGGACTCTTCAGTCTGCAGGCCGAGGCTCTATCCACTGAGCCAGACCAGCTGAGGCAGCCCTCTTAACATAATGGATCGATCTTCCAGACCAAAAAAAAAAAAAAAAAAAAACAAATCAATAAGGAAATAGCAACTTTAAATGACACACCAGGATGTCAGAGGAATGGTGGTGTGAGAGATCCCCTTTGTTTCTCCCCATGAAATTTCAACAAGTTGATCAGCTATCACTCAACAAAGGACTCCCTGCTCACAACACAGGCACGTCTGAGAGATCCATGCATTGAAGCATCCAAAGGTGGGCAAATGGGAGCAATCAGGGGAGGCAAGAAGGGAGGAGAGCTAAGAGGGGATGGATGCAGCTCTGCAGCTTGGCCCAGAGAGGGGAGGAGCTGGCTGTAGCTGGTGCTCCCTTGGCTGTGAGGAGCAGAGAATCTCAGGAGGGCACTCTTCATGGAGTGAGTGGTGCAAACTGTAGATGCTGAGAGGCTTGGGCAAGGACGAAGCGCAGAGGTTCTTCCGAGGTTGTCGGAAGGAATTTATCACCAGGCAGTTGGTGTTCCAAACTAAGAAATGGAGCCACAGAGCCCTGCTGTCACTTAGACTCCCCCAAATTGTCTCCCCTTGCACTTGGTGCTGGGATGTGGGGCACATTATCTGCAAAGCTGAGAACTGCTATGCAGGATTGTTACATATCTCTGTGACTGATCCCTGAGTGGGACGCATTGGGGGTGGCCCTGTGGAGGTCCGGGGTTGCCAATACCGAGAGGGAAAAACAAACTCCACCCCCCAACTTTGCAGCCATACTGAAGGCAGCTGCAGAGGTCAGCTTGGGAATTTCACAGAACTAAAAAACTTGTGATTCAGTGCCACCTACTGGAAAATAAGAGAAATATCTCTTCATAGAAACCTGCTAAAGAAGTGTCAATACATAGCTGCCCAGACAGAGAGGGAGCCCAGCCCGCCAAATAGCAAGTTAGTGAGGCAGTTCAGAAAGAAAATGAAAAATCTCCAGAAAGCAAACTGGAATGAATGGAAATATATGATATAAATGACAGAACTCAAGACTGCAGTTCTGAAAATACTCAATGAGATGAGAGAACTTGATTCACTCAGAGCACAAATCACTTTACCAAAGAGATTCAAACTTTAAAAAAGAACCAAAGAGAAATTCTTACCAAACATATTCTCTGCCAACAATGCCTTGAAATTAGAAATCAACTGCAAAAAGAAAGTAAAGAAACTCAGAAATCTGTGGAGATTAAACAACATACCACTAAAAAGTGGCTGGGTCAAAGAATAAATAAAAGGTGGGATCAAAAGATATATAGATTCAAATAAGAATGACAATACGACATATCAAAACTGTGATGTGTCCAGCAGGTGTGGCTCAGTGGTTGAGTGTTGACTCATGAACCAGGAGGTCAGTTCAATTCCCGGTCAGGTCACATGCCCAGTTGCAGGCTCGATCCATAGTAGGGGGTATGCAGGAGGCAGCTGATTGATGATTCTCTCTTATCATTGATATTTCTCTGTTTCTCTCCCCCTTCCTTCCTAACTCGGAAATCATTAGTAACATATTAAAAAAAAAAAACTTCTGTGATGCAACTAAAGTATTAATAAGAGGGAAGATTTATCATTATAGGCCTATCTCAAGAAAGAAGAGAAATACCAAGTAAACTAATCCAAAATAAAGGACAGTGAGCTAAACTATTTTTGCTTTATCTAAATTTTAAAATAAATATGAAGAGCAGCAAAACCAAACCAAAATAAAATATTTAGTAGATACAACTGCATATAGTAGCATTTATATCTATACAAGTTAATGAGGGAAAATTGCCTTTTTGTAAAAGTAATGGCTACACAGGTAACTTTCAAAAGCAAAACCTTTACAGGTAAAATTCAACATTTGATTTGTCCAATTAGTTTTTGCTGTGTATAATTTTTATATAAAAAAGAATTGATCTGTCAGAATATCCTGTATATAGTAAAAGGCTAATATGCAAATTGACCAAACGGCAGAACGATCAGTCTCTATGATGTGCACTGACCCCTGGTGGTCAGTGCACTCCCACAGGGGGAGCACTGCTCAGCCAGAAGCCCTTTGCCAGGCTCACGGCTGGTGAGCGCAGCAGCAGTGACGGGAGCCTCTCCCACCTCTGTGGCAACGCTAAGCTGTCAGTCAGACATCCCCACATCTCATATCTCCTGGACTGTGAGAGGGTGCAGGCCGGACTGAGGGACCACCCTCTACCCCCCGAGTTCACGAATTTCATGCATCAGGCCTCTAGTACTTCTAATAAAATATATATCAATTTGGATAAATAGAAATTATGTAACTGTGATTTTAGAATAGTGAAATTAAATTGATTTAATGGAGTTTACTTGGTATACTCTCTTATACATATTTTAACTTGAAGATTACAGTAGAGGAATTAACAAAAACTGGAGAAATTAATATTTTAGATTACAAATGCGATATAGAGATTTTATGTGAGGCTGACTGTAACTATGGGGAAAAATATAGGATAAATATCAATGAGTCAAGCTTCACAAATCAATATAATGTACTTGCAAGTTGCAATATTCAGTTTGCCTTATCTTCTTAAAGTGGTGGGTTCAGGTAACGGTCGTAACAGATGCACAGCTGTGGCTTCGGATGAACAGCTGCACACCAGGCATTGGGTTTTTAATTCAGAATAGAGTGAAGGTGAGCAACATAGAATTTCACAGAAATTTCTCTCCAAACTCCAATAAAAAAGATGTAACTTTGATGCTTGTGAATGTCAATATTGACTAGGAATCACTGGTAGTTCAACAGTTACTGAACAGACTGACCTACTGAAGATTTCCTATGAAAAAATAATTGATTTTGTATATATTATATTTTTTATTTGTTTGTTCATAAGAACCTGCTTGTATCAGTGAGATTTTCTGTCCTGCCTCACATCTTCTCAGCCTACTTTCCCCACAGGCATTGCAAGGCAACAGAACCTAACTTTAGCTTCATTGCATGTCTATTGTGTGTTTCTTTGTTTTTAATGTTAATTAATTTATTTTTAAATGGAATGTATTGAGGTGACACTGGTTCACAAAACCATATAGGTTTCAAGTGTACCACTCAATAAAATATCTGCACACTGCATGGTGCACCCATAGCCCCAGGCAAAGTCTCTTTCTGTCCCCATTCCCACCCCCCCACTTTTGCCCATCCCCACCTACCCCTCACCCCCTTTCCCTCTTGCTATCACCACACTGTTGTCTGTGTCTATGTGCTATGCATATATGTTTTTTGTTTTTTTTGCATTGTTATACGAAGGCTTTTACATGATGTGGTTGGGACATCTGTGAGAAGCTGATTATCATTTGTGGATGCTCAAAACTTCAAATATGGGGGGATTAAGACCCATGGATAATCCTTGACTTTACGAGTGTGGATGATTGAACATTTTTGTGCATGTATTTTGATAACATAAGCATTCAATTCTCATAAGAATATATATAGAAATAGAATTGCTGGATCACAGGAGGTATCTATTTTTTTGCATGTAATAGATACTAGCAAACAGGTTTTCATAGGGGTCATCGTAATGTACTTTTTATCTTCTCCACAAACTCACTCATATTTGATATTATTAACCCTTTTAGTATTAGCCATTCTTGTATGGGTGTAATTGTTGCTTTAGTTCATATTTTCCTGTTGATTAATGATACTTAACATATGCCTATTAACCATTTAGATACACTCTTTTGTGAAGTAGCAGTTTAAGGTTTTAGCTATTTGTGTGTGTGGTGAGGCAAGGGTGTCAGTCTTTTTCTTATTAATTTGAAGTTCTTTATAATTTCTGTATCCTAGTCCTTTGTTGAATGTATGCATTGTGAATATGTTCTACCAGTCTCTGGTTTACGTTTTATTCCCTTAAACTTGTGATGGAAAGAATTTTTTAATGGGATACAGTTGATTAATATTTTTACGACTATTATTTTTTTCTGCAAATTCTTTACTCCTT